TATATAATTCAGCAGTGTTCCAGTAACTGACACCATTCCATCCACCTGTAACTAACACTGTTCCATTGGCTAAGACGGATGCTGTGTGATATATACGTGCATAACTCATATTTCCTGTTGTTGTCCAAGTGCCTGTTGATGGATTATATAATTCAGCACTTTTCAACGAACCACTACCATCGTCTCCACCTACAACTAACACTATTCCATTGGCTAAGATGGATGCTGTGTGACAGTCTCGTGCATAACTCATATTTCCTGTTGTCGTCCAAGTACCTGTTGATGGGTTATATAATTCAGCACTTTTCAAGGAGCTACTACCATCGTATCCACCTGTAACTAATACTGTTCCATTTGCTAAGACGGATGATGTGTGAGAGTCTCGTGCATAACTCATATTTCTTGTTGTTGTCCATACTAAATTCAACAAACATATCACAAAAAGATGTTTCTTTATATATCCTCATATCATCCACCTCAACACTGTATCTACTTGTTTTAATCACAAACGAAATAAACCTTAATCTTCATGAATATTTCTTTTCTTTTATCAAGAACACTAATTTATACGTTAGAATACAATAATAATGTGAATAGATATGAATATTACAAGTTCTCAGATATTGAAAAACAAACAAAAGATAAACTCATCTTTTATTCGAAACATCCACAAGTAATAATCATATCTTTATTCATTTGATGTACTAAATCAGTTTCAAGTAATTTGCAGAATGCCAAAAAAAGTGCATATTTTTATTTTACATTTCTTTATGTACGAAACTCAATGGGAGCATATCGATGTTTGTTTTAAACTATTTTACAGCTGTTTAGCGAATAAGAACTTTGATATGTACTAATATTTCATCACAAATCAGAAGAATAGAGTTAAAATCTTACTTATCACTCGACTTTTTAACTCTTTAGCTGACATTTGAAAATTTATTATCCAATTTATAGAGTGAAATTATATGAAAGATCATTTATGAATGCTATATGTATCATCATTACAAATATAGATGAGAAAATACGTCAAAAACTTTCTCATTGCCATCGATTTGAAAGAGTTATCAAGAGAAATCACAACTATCTAATCAAAATTGCTTACCGCGTGGTGCTTCTGTTGTTGATAGTGATGTTGTTGATGATGATGTTGTAATCAGAGCCAGCTCTACTTAAGAAAATAACAAATTTTATATGAATTAAAAAAGTTAGAATGAATATTGAGTTTAGATTTAACTTATACTTGTTGTGTCTCTTATTAGATTTTTCATTAATTGGAAAAAAAATTCATTTTGCTCGAACTGTATTCAGACATCCACACTCTTTTCATATGTATAAGAGAATTTAGTCTTTCTCTGTTCCTTTTAATTCAACTATTCCTCAAGCTTGACAAAAAAAGGATAACTGATGGATATGAAAGAATCATTTATTAGAGAGAATAATACTCTTGTACTTCTACTTATACATCTCTAATCAAAGTCTCAAATCGATTCTTCTATTCACTTGTAAATTCTAATTGGAAATTAATAAACTATTGTATCTATATATCATTTCTCTCGAATACAAACCAGGTGGATATCGTGTTCCAATAATTGAAATCATTGTTACAACATTCATTTCATATGACATATTTCCATTTTGATTTAATGAATCATTAAATAATTGACACTGAAAAGTGAATTTGTAGAAAGTAATTGCTATACATTGATTTCGACTTAAACAATCAATTCGACATTGACGAATATCGGATGTTGTGAGATTATTAAATGGTAAACAAGTTGATTGAGCACATTGAAATATTTGATCATTGATTACTGACATTTGAATAGATCGTATGTTATCTCCCATTGTTTGTATAATAAACATTAATAATATTAGTAGACAAATACTCGCTGGAGTCATCTTCACAGCAAGTCTTAAACTGTTGAAATGGACAAAAAGTGCAGAAGAATATATACTACAATATTTTCTCTTATTCACTCTCTCTTTCTTTTTTCTATATTTCTTCCATTAGTTAGTTGAGAAACTAAACATTCATGACTTTTCTCGTATATCAGACCAATGCGAAGAGAGACAAAGAGAGAGAAAGAGAAAGAAAGAATAAAAACTAAGTTTTACCAGTGAATGGCTTTTTTCAATCAAAAATTGTCAGAATTTTCCTAATGAAAAATATTCGTTATAATGCGATAAAGAATTAAAGATTTTGATTTATTGCTAAATAGTTGATTCTCATAGATTCAAATATCATTTTATTATTCTCGTTATACAATGAGAAAAGAATACTTAAAGAAAAAAAAAGATGAATGACAAGTTAAAGATAAGGAGAAGAAAAGTTCTAAAAATTATTTTGACCAAGAAATTAGAATGTACTACGTAGTTGATTAGATGAAAAGAAAAAACAAATTCTATTAAATAATAATCAAATATTTATTGATATATGTATTTATTTTTTCCAAGTCAGATCTTTTCTTCCTAGTATGATATTTATTTAACTCTAGTTATACTTACATACCTAAAAAACACAAGTGATTAATTAGAAAATAATCTAAAGACATAGAATTTGTGTGTATCTAGCCAATTATAATGATAAAAATCACTAAGTTTTAATAAAGAAATTGTTGTTAAAACATGACAAAATAAATCCAATAAAATAGTCATAAATGATAAACAAGTTTTTGTTGCACATTGATATTTCCGTTCATGCCTTTTAACTATTTCAGATGATATGATACTTTGAGTAGTTAATTGTTCGGAAAAAAAACTTCACGGAAATAAAATTGAAATTATTATTAAATGAGAAAGAAACTGAATTATCCGCATATGTTATCAGAAAAATATTCTTTTAATAAACAAAAAAGATATACTCTTTTTTAATGAGTTACTTCAATAAAAAACTAACTTTGATAAATACAATAATGTTTTTTTATCACATTGCATCGGAAAACAGACAAATCACAAAATCAATTGATTCAAAGAAGTGAAATAAAACGATTGTTTAAGAGCAAAATCGAATGACTTTATTTGAAACCAAATACTTCGAGGAACTTTTAAACTAAAACTGAACAAACGAATAAACAAACAACTCATAAAATTACCGAACATTACTAAGAAGACAGTAATGAGTTACATATATTCACTTATTTACATAATCGATGAAAATAAAGAAACATTCAAAGAAAAAGCAACAACGCTATTACTGAGTATAAATAGTTTCAAAACAGTTATTCAGTACGTCAATGCAGAAGAAAGACACAGGAAATATTGTATTTTACTAGAAAGTGGATTTTGTCATGCACAAATTCAAATCATATTTTCTTTTTAAGTGTGTTCATTTTCTTTTGCAAGAGAAATTAATTACTTTTTCTCTTCTTCTTCTCATTATTATAATATCTATGAGAAACAAAAATTATCAAAGAATATATTTACTAACATTTTATATGTTAGAAGAAATATCTTATAAAGTGTGCAAAGATATGAATGAGAAAACTTCAGAATAAATTTCAAAATTTCATTGTGAAAGTAGAAAAAATTGGAAGTTTTCAAATCTATCTACATACTTTTAGAATAAATATTCTATGTTTCTTCATTTGTCAGAACTATATTTTGATTAAATCAATAAAAATGAAATTCTAACATTACGAAAGAATCGCTATATTAATTTGATTCATATATGCTCTCGAGATAAATTAATAAAATACTATTAATAAGAAAGAGATAACAAAACAAAACACATATTTATTTTCTTCGTCTTTTTAAAATTTGAAATAAATATATCTTTTTAATGATATTAACATATGAAAAATACAAGTTGAAGATCTTTTTAATGAAGTTTTCTACGAAATATTTGAATATTTTATGTTTTTAATCAGCGTTTTCGAAATCTTTTCAATCAATCGAACATATTTTAATCAAAGTTCATCTTGGTTTAATATCAAAATCAATATTTGAATCTGATTATCACGATTTAATTCTTCCACATTCATATAAAATAGAATAATTTCGTTTTTTATTGATTTCTTTCTTTCATCTGCTTCTATTATTTCAAAGGTTATAGTTATTAACAATATTTCATCCAGATATACTTGAATAATCTTCTCGATGATCTGTCAATCTATCTTACTGAATTCATTACCATTAATCATTATTCACAAATATTCTATTCGAAACAAAAATCTTTTATATCAAAAAAATAATTTCAATTGCTTTCATTGGAATATTTCGGATAACTTTTGATAGAAGTACGATAGAAAGCTTCGTTTTTTATCATTGAAATGAGCAAATGAAATCGCATCGAATCCTATAAGACAATGACTTTAACTTAGACTTTGCATTTCTTGTAGAATAGTTGAAAAACGAAATGCCTTAAGAATAAGTCTGATTTTCTCAGAAAAAAAGTCGAGTTTTTTTACCCCAAATTGCTGGTAAAGCGGACTAGAATTATTGAACATAATACTCAGAATTTTTAAAAGAGTAAAACTTTGAGTCAAGTCTTATATATAGTTTTGTAGTCTCTGAACTCATGACTTTCATCTATCCCTTAAAGTTTAACACTTCTTCTATCTTCATATAATAACCGTCATTTCTTTTAAGGTGACTATGAACCGTTATTGATTTGAGAAATAAATTCCATCTTGAGGGTGGGTGTAGGTGTGTATGCGGATGTGGATGTGGATGTTTGAGTAGATATCGGAATTCGATATACTATGCACACCCACACCTGCACCAAATTTTTCGTTGTAAAATATTTTTCTAAAAAAATATCTTGAATACGAATATATTTTACAAATTTTTTGTCAATACGAAACGTGAGGTATGTAAGTGTAGATTGTGAGTGATTAATAGTGAAATGAAAAGAACAAAATAGTCCATTAAATGCTTTTTGTCCTTTTTTTTCTCTTTCACTCTTTCAAACTTTTTCGTATGTGTCTATCGACCAGTGTTTTTATCAGTTGTTAACCTTTTATCGAACAATAAACTGAATGTTAAAAAAAAGAAAAACGAATGATAAAAAAGCATTGTAGAAAGTTTACTTTTATTTTATTTTTTGTAACAATAAAAGAAAATATACATTATAAAAAGGAAATACTTAGTATATATGATAAAACAGAAATATAAAGATTATTATTATTTTTAATTAACATTGACAAAAGCCTTGATTATCAGTATTGGATTTATCAGTTGAACTAGATGGTAGAAGTTTGACTTCAATTTCAAATATAAAATATTTAATATAAAATTTAAATTTTTTTTTCGAATTATTATTTACCAGGACTATCTGTAACTTCAGGTTGTTCCATACCAAGCAATGCAGAGGCTACTCGTTGAAATAACTATAAGAAATCAAACAGATTATTATTATTATTATTATTATATTGATAATTAATCTAAACAGATAGTACTTGTTTAACATTATAACCTGCTTTACCACTTGTTTCAATAAAGATGACATTTAAATATTTTGCTTTTTGTTCACCCTCTCCTGTAGATACTTGTCGTCTATCAACTAAATCAGTTTTATTACCAGCTATAATATAAGTATTAAATGAACATATATAACGGTTTTCCCTCTCGAAAATATCTACCAAGCATTATGATAACATCAGTACCACGTTCAGAACGAACTTGTTCTATCCATCTTGATGTTTGTTGAAACGATGTTGAATCTAACGAATTTTTAAAAAAATTCGTTTTTTTATTTTTTATTTTTATATGATATTTTTACTTGTCACATCGTAAACAACAACAGCAACCTTAGAATCACGTATATAGTTAGGAATAATACTTCTATAAAAAAGAAGCAAAATGGAAAAACATTATTAAAAATCTTAGCGAAATATTTTATCTATTACCTAAATCTTTCTTGTCCTGCTGTATCCCTAAATTTAAACAAAATATTTTTATATATTTTTAAATAAATCCATTCTTACCATATTTGCAAATGAATAGTTCGACCTTCTACATCTATAGATTTGGATAGAAAATCTATACCGATTGTAGCCTAAATTTAAAGTAGAATTTATATTCCTCGCCAAAAATGTATTCTTACTTGACATGTATTATCAAAACTATCATACATAAAACGAGTAACCAATGAAGTTTTTCCAACTAAAAATATAGAAATAATATTTATGTCTAGTATTTTTTTTAATGATCTTACCACTTTGTTCACCTAGAAAAATCAATTTAAATCTAAGACGAGGATTTCCATTTTGTTCTAATGACATTCTATTAATCAAAATCAAAATAAACAGATCTACAAAAGAGGAAGTTGTAGAATCTTAATCTAGACTTAAAAGGAAAATAAATTTTCTTTCTGTGTCACGTCTTGTAGTGTGAATGTTGAATGATAAAGTGAGGGCCATAAAAAGCATGCACTTTTTATTGTTACACATAAATGAATAATAAAGATATGTAAAAAACATAAAATGTATGTGTTTGTTTGGGGCTTCATTGTATGTCATTTGAAAGAACAAATGATGCTGTTTAAAATGCGTCGGTTTTCGCGTATTTTATGTGTCATTTCATAATTAAATTTATTGAAAATACTGAATACTATATCTAATTACAAGTGAGCACACTCTGAAAATCACAATAAAACCTCACCGAACTCGGTGCTTTCCAAATAATAATTATACAGTTTTATTCAGTTTTTTATGCTTCTTTCGAATGGTATCGTTGAAATTTAAAAACAAATCAAAATTTGATTCGTTAATTGTTGATTATTATTAACTATCAATTGGTTATTAATAATTAACTAACTGCAATACAAATAGAAGTGCTTTATACCAAAATGTAGCTCATTAAATTCTGCATCGAAAGGTATATAGAACATCTTTCAGATATTGTCAAATAACGTAAAAATTAGCCAAGTACTATAAATCTGCCAAATGTTTTTCCTACGTTTGACCACAGCGTTTAGTATTTTAGCTATAATACTGTCATTACTCAATGAAAATTAAAAAGTCTTTTTACCAAAATGATCCGTAAAAAAAGCTTTACAAAACTAGATATAAGAAAAAAAATTTAGAATATCTTTATTATTCGTTTATGTATAAAAACAAAAAAGTGCATGCTTTTTACGGCCCTCAATGTATGTTATTATAAAATGTTTTATTCCATACATGCCTATATATATCATGAAATATCCGTAGGAGAAGGAATATTCCGTAGCAATAAAACCATCTATAGAAAGGAAGAGGAAGAAGTAAAACATGACGAACGATAATAATCTCTATCACTATATCACACTATTAGTAATACAATATTATTTACAAAAACTTTATCTAGCATGTTTGAAATAATATCTACGAGATTGTCAGTGTAGGTATTTGTGGTTGAAATAGAGTACCCACATCCACACTCTTGTTCTCTCGAAACCACTGTCACAAATCAAGAGATTTTTCATTTTAGCTATTATCAACTATTTCATAGTGTACCTTATAAAAAGAATTTCGTAATTACAGGATTTATTCATAGTAAAATATTTATAAAATAGACAATCTTGTAAGCGTTAGACATGAACTATAGATAAATAGTTGTTGAGAGTATGTATCTGTAAATTTCACAATAGCACAGAAAAAAAAACAAGATAATATCGTATAAAAAGAACGAACTGGTAATACCAGAAATAATCGTTTGTTTTTAATAATTGTCGAAGAGTGTCTTGAGTTGCTATTCTTTCGTGTCTAGATGGAAAGACAAGGCGACCAAAAATAGGACGTTGGGTTGTCAATGGTACTAACTGTTTTATTTCACTATTCCATTCTACGCCAAGTCGATAAAAATGATTAGATCTAAGTACAATATTCCATGGAAGATCTGATACAAATACTGGCGTGACATAGTAGTAGCCTTGTTATTGGGGTAGAACGACCTCTTCTAATGATTGACAAAGATTCGGCAGGAAGTCAAAATTGCTTGGTCCAATATTACATCACGACATATGACCGGTATCAACATCGAGATGTAGACGATCACGCATTCATCTATTGATCAGTAATTAACGAACGCCATCCAAGGTGACAATATGTGAAACTTGTACACGATCGACGTTTTCAACACTAACATATGATTCTTCACGTGGATTTAATATTTGAAGATCGAAGTCAACTTCTTACATGATAACGTTGCATAAGAATTACTATAATGAATCCAAATAAATACGTTCGATCTTTTAGTTTTTCACTAGATTAAAATACTATCTTTCAACTTGTATCATTTATCTGTAAAATAATTTTTCCTATCGACGATCGTTCCTTTTCTATCGATTATGAAGGTTTGAAATAAAAAAATTCAGGTGCTTAGGAAAGGGCTGTTTATCAAGATACTATTATATGCAATTGCACAGATACAATTTCAACTGAATCTAATTCATATCTTTGGATCAAAACTGTTTGCAGTGAAATTCTTCAGATTTTGTTCTCTACGATATTTGAGACCAAGTATGATCGAAGATAGTTTTTCTTTAAGCAGAGTGTATTGTATTTTCTATAGTTATTTATTAAACGAAACCTTAAACTGAAAAGTATATTATTTATATGTAAACTGATATGTTTCTATTTCCTATTTCTAGTTAAGCCATGTCAAAGATCGGATCTACTGCTAATCAATGGATAACCTATGATATAGTATTGATCAATACAGATCACCTATGACAATCTTAAAATGGAATGATACCTGAATCTGCAGTCTGTCGTCTCGAAACAGTAGCTAAATTGGATATAGATTGGTCCAAACCCAGACCACCACAAGAATACATTCAGCAGGTGAAACTGAATCAGCACTCGATAGAAAGAAGACGAAGGTAGCCGTCTTTGGATCTGTAATCATTGATTTTTGTGGAAAACAAATTGTAGTGCCAGTCCATGAACTTAAACATACGCCTCGAGTATTGTTATGTTTGGAATCAGCTCAACGATTAAAAATCAATGTAGATCGAATGCATTTTAAGGTTATTTTGCCAAGCACTGCATATACTCATAGGGCCTATATTATTGTTCCCCAGGATCTATTTAATCTGTTTAGATCCGATGGCATATAATCGCTCGTGTACACTGAAACAAAGATCACGATATTATTAAACTGAAATAGTTTGTCAAGATATCGACAGAAGATTCTTCATAACACGAATCAAAACAATATTATGACAACATGATATCTCATTCTCAGCAGTCAATACATTCAAATTCAGGTCAAACAAGATATCTCTTTACATTGATGTTAAACAAGCAGATCAACTGAATAAATATGAATGAATTGTTTGGGCAACGAATCATCACATACGTGGTCTTTGCAAGATGCTACTGCAATCGAATTAATCGAATACGTACCAAAACAATTTCAGTTTCAATTCCAAAAGAAACAATTGATTCGATATGTTGGATTTAATACCAATATCAAATAATAATGATAATGATCTATTTAATACACAATCAAATCCATGAAGATTGTCGAATAAAATTACTTTTAAAATTACATCAAATGCTCCATTTATCGAAGCTCCACAAATTAATTATATATTAATATAAGATGAATTAATAATGGCTCACCTACCTGAACATGTTTCATCAACTGTTGGTCCGATAGGGTACCCACATGATTGGGAATCGATAATGACTAATGTAAATCATTCTAATGTGGATTATGAACAAGCACAACCACAAAATAATGTTCAGTCAAGTTTATCGGAGGCAGGACGAAAACGTAAACATAATCATTCACGTGCTCTCGAACAAAGATCACGATATTATCGAACTGAAACCCAGGTCGATGATTTCTGAAGCAGTATCCTATGAAATTTCCAAAATACCATGGAATCGGTCGTTCCCGTGCCGGATTGTTCGACCTGAGTATTGAAGCTTTACAACGACAAGACAAGGTATTGATCGTAATCAACAACCGGAAAAATGTCAGTAAGATTGTTGTGATCATCTGTTCGACGGAACACTATAATAATATTACAGATGCTCAAGCAGCTATTCAAGTCATTTTTTCAAGTCTTACTCCAGCACTTGAAGAAGAACGCCCAGGACTTCAATCAAGGGTGAGGGTGTGGGTGTGGGTGGGTGTGGGTGGGTGTGGGTGGGTGTGGGTGGGTGTGGGTGGGTGTGGGTGGGTGTGGGTGGGTGTGGGTGAAGAAGAGGCACCTACACCTACACCCTCAAGAGTTTTGTTATTGTTTTTTCTATTATTTTTATGAATAAATTAAAAACTTTTAAAATGAATTGAATAAAAAATTAAAGAAATTCAAAAAAAGATTAGGTTGATAACATATTTCTTTCGATCCGGACCCGATCAGTGAAAGCTTTGATACCCGGATCCGGTTAAAGCAAAATTTTCAGACTCAGGCCCAACCTGAACCCATCCGAGCTCAGATCCGGATCGGGCCCCACGGACATTAATGGAAGCCAGTATTATAATGACAATATTCATACCACACATGAGAGAAAAGTAAGGTCCCGTACCCATCCCATTTTGGAGAGGAACAGCAACAGTTACCGAGATACCTGCTGCACAACAGATGATAAAAGTATTAACAGCACATACCGCTGCTGCTTCTTTCTGTTTTTTTATCGTCAAATACGCTGACACAGTTGTTTCGACAACTGCTTGGCCGAAACCTATCAAACTATAACCAATAAGTGATCCAATTACATGAAGCTTGTAGTGAAATGTCCACCCAGCGATTAATAATCCAACTGGAATGAGAATGGATAAGATCAGAGCAGGTACAAGACGTCCTTCAGGATATTTTTCGTGTCCATAATATTCACTAGCTTTGTCCGACAACCATCCACCAAGAATACTGCCTATAAACAGTGAAATTCCATTAGGCAAGTAGAGTACACCAATAATTGTTTCTGTATAATTGTATGGACTCTCATGAAGATAAATAGGAAAGAGAGTAATGGTGGCAAATAAAGTGGCAAACGCCATTGTCGATAAAGCAATGTAAGGTGCTATTGTCAAATCAGCTAAATAGAACAACGGTTCCCAAGGCTTCTGAAATTGAGGCATTTCATTAGGCATAGCATCGATTATGCGTTTGTTGGAATATGCTTTATGAAAACGCTCTTTAACGAAATACTGATGAGTTTCGGGTACCAGAATAAATATCACGGCGAGAACAATCACTGAGAAAATTGTCAAAAATATAAAAGTGCTACGCCAACCAAAAGCACCTGACAATGGACCACCGATGAAAGGACCAATTACAGGGCCAATGTTGAAGAGTACGAAAAAAAATCCTGATGCTAACCCCCTTATCTCTTCAGGATAGATATCTGCTATTGAGGCCTGACCGACCACCAACGTTGCTGATACAGAGCCACCTTCTAAGGCACGAAAAACAATGAGAACAGCAATACTTGAAGCAAATATGCATACTATTGTCACCAACAAGAAGATAATAAGTGCTATAATCAGCGTAATCTTTCTGCCAAATCTATCTGATATTGATCCCCAAACAAGACTGAAAAGGCCGCTTGTGAACAAGTAGATTGACACACTGAATACCGCAAGTATATCAGACGTGTTGAAACTATTTCGGATGTCGTTGAGCGCAGGCAAATATATCGTATCACATAATGGAAGTAATAAAGCAACAATCGATAGAGCCACAAGTATAAAATTACGTTCACGCTTAGTTCTTATATTGTAAATAGATATTTCTTCGATATCAATAGGTTTTGATGTTTGCACGGCCACCGGTAAACCCATAGAAACATCTGCGGCAGATGTCGACGAATAGGGGACAGTAAATGCAGATGTTTTGTTATTGTCATTATCATTAATAATGCGCACGCTTCTATCTTCGAAGTCGATCTCGCTTCTTGGTTCAAAAGGATGATGATCGCTATATTTCTTCTCATTTAAATCCATCTATAACTAAAAAAGAATTTTAAGCACTCCCTACTACATATAGTCATAATTAGTATTCTTGAAATTTTGATACGGAAATGAAGAATATGTGTATTTACACTTAAAATATTTTCTTCTTCTCGTATTTCAAACTGTCAGCACATATTACTGTTCATCATGTTTCCCTTACAATCGTAGCGCAAAATTTAAATGCATAAAACTAACCGTTTCTACTAAAACGACAACTTATAGCATATAAAAAGATTATTAAACACTTACGATACCTATCTTGTAAAGCATATTTCAAAATGAAGAAAAAATCTCTTCTAAACTTTCATTATATAACTTAATAGATCAAAACATATTTTCTAACCTGTTATTTTTTCAGCTATTTTCATATGAGTAGTCTACAAATTAAAGCTAGCTTGGTATATATAGAACTTACATACTCACTATATATTCAAATTTAATTCAGTTATTAAATGTTTATATTCTTCAATATAAATTAAAAAGAAGTTTCAATAAATTTCTTTCTACACGGTTGGAAATAATACAATTCTTGCTGAGAGTACGTGTGCTGCTATAATTTCAATTAGAGTAATTAATGAATATCATATAAAAAAAAGAGAAGAATATCATGAGGATAGTATACAAGAAGGAGAAAATATGATCCAATATTATTAACACATATCAAAATAGATAGTTCTTATCGAAGTTTTATTGTTATAAAATTAGTTGAAGATTGATTAAATATTACAGAGATGTTAGAGTTATTAATACGATGCTTTCATTAATTTCTTTTTCTAATTTAAACTATAATTTAGTCAAACTTTGTCTTTCGCTACTTTTGGCTATTTCTAATATCTTTAACTTTTTTGTAAGTAAACATTGATTCACAGTTTTTTACATTATTTACAAGGTAATAAAAAATTATTCAGATCGTTTCTTATGTCTCAACTCAAATGCGATTTTTTATAACATAAATTCTATGAGAAAATCTTCTCCCTTCATAGAAAACTTTAAGAATATGTGTGAAAAAAAATTTTTACAAACATCCGTAGTTGTTTAGAGGCAGCGATCTTTTTACTTACTAATAAAAAAAATAAATACCGAAAAAATACATATAAAGACACTGTTTCATATGTTTTTATTTCGGTAATAAGTCACATGTAGTTTTGTATCTGCGTAGAGAAAAACATTAATACGAAAAACATATCAACATAAAATATTGTACAAAAAGCAAAAACATATTAAAGCAAATAAAGCTATTAGTTTCAACCGATGCACTCATTATTCAATCGATTAACGTCATGATTTTTCTTTACGCATATATAGAGAAAAGGTAATTAAACTAACGATTGTAATATCAATCTTGTATGCAATATCCATGTGCTGCACATAACCTGACCATTTTAGTATCTTGTTTATTGTCTATATGCAAATATTTATTCGTCGATACTTTTCTTTTTCTTTTCTCTAATGCGCACAATGCAAACTTCTCGCATGAATGCCTTTAGATTTTTTCTCATGATCGAATAAAAACTATTGAGATGGTTTAGAAACAGTATCCCTGTGATTTTTAAAAAAAGATTTGAATTATAGAGCTTATCAGTAAATATATCTACTAAATTTTCATCAAGGGAGAAACAGCTGATTAGGAAACTACTAATTACTCTTAATCAACCCTAATCACTATTAATCACGTCTAATCAAATAATCAGCTGTTTCCCCTTTGAGTTTTCTACTGATAAAAAATAATAATCTGAATTTAATAAAATATAGAGCTGACGTAAAAAGAAAAATGAAGAATTTTGATCGGAATCTATCACTACAGAGTGGCCGATAGACGAGTTTTGAAAATCAATATCCGAGAATTGAGTATAATAAAGAAAATGTAAATGAAAAATAGAAGTATCCTTTTCAAATTATATAAATCGTCGCATATATATCTTTATACTCTCGATGTATTGAAGATTTCTCTTTTGACCTTCTGTTTCTCACATGTTTTGTTGGTTTCGCGAAACATTGCAATAACTCCCTCCGTTAATATTATTTACCGCTTATTTAAACCAGTTATAGGTTTCACCCATATACTTACGTCTCTCGCTTCCGTTGATCATCACGTTAACGTGTCTTTCCTTGTCTGGATCATAATCCACCCGTAATTGAAAATATTGGCTGTTCTTAAGATGGTGATCCGCTCAATATTGTCCAGTGTCACTTTAGCGTGAGCATCTTTCAGCAGATTCTACGACTAATATTTTTTGTCATACAAAGATCTTCTGACTTTGGGGTATTTTAAAAGAAAAAAAGCTACAATTATTCGAATAACAAAGATTGACTTTGAGATGTGGATGAGGATGTTGTTGCTAGCTAGAACCTTTTCTTATACTGGTACGAACAGCATACTCATGGACGCTGTCCTTGTTCTTTTTCTCGTCATCCTCGCTTTACACGATGCCGATGCAAAACTGATATAATAAGATGACAAGCATATTTACAAGTAACCTTCGTTCTCACCGATAACGCTTTTTTCTTTGTTATCTGAAAGCACCGCGCAAGAAAACGACAGAAAACAAGCAACTGATTACGTATTACTTTATATAATAGTAAATATTTATGAAATAGATAGCAAAAGAAAAAAGGTAATAGAAATGGTATACCTATATTCAACAACACAAAAGCAAATCTAACTCCGTCATGCGCATGATAATAGAAGTAATTGTTGCGAAAAAGCTTAGTAATGCAATTTTTATCGCGTCAAAATGCAAAACATACACATCTTTTATGAATTATTAGTACGTAGATCAGTTAATCAAATTTTGTCCGATTTTTTCTGGTATCATTCGTACATCGATCCAAATAGGTTAGATTTACTGTGATATAACACAACCAAGCATAACACGAAAAATTCTAAAAGATGTTAGAGTAAGAAATCTATCCTCTACTACAAACAACATTTTTCTGTAAGGAGAAATGTTCAACTCAACAAATTCTATGATTGAAGTAAGTTGCTATATGTTGATCAATTTTTCTTTTTGCGTTTCTTGCGGAAAATATTTTGAAGATTTGTTTGAATTTTTATTACATGCTATGGGAATGTTCTTTCTAGATCATCTCTGATATAAATCCATCTAGTTCAGAGACTCTACGAATCTGTTTACTGACTATTGAAACCACTATGGAACAACAAGATCTCAATGTCAAGTTATCGACGACAAACTATCCACCACTGCCTAGCTTATCTGAGATTAAAACTAAAATACCTGCCCACTGTTTTCGTTCCACTGTGCGTCAATCAATATTTTACGTTATCTTAGACATATCCATCATTACTGTTGGTTATATAATCATGTTTCAATTGGAATACAAGCTTAAATACGCAATTTTACTCTTTCCTCTCTATTGGTATATACAAGGTAAATTCTGTTCATGTATAATCATTTTTTGGTAGCTTACCATTTTGTTTTATACAAAAGGTACTCTATATATGTCGCTCTTCTCTATTGGACACGATTGTGCTCATGCTAGTTTCAGTAACTATCAATTGCTCAATGACACTATTGGTCAGTTCTTTACCTTTCTTGTCAAGTATTATGATCGCATTCTTATTTTGTTCAGGTACCATAGTGTTTACATGGATATTGATTCCTTACTTTCCCTGGAAGGTTAATTATCAATTATATGCATTTATTTTCAACTCTAATGATATTTATTTAGATAACTCATAAAAATCATCATAAAAATACGAATAATATAGACAAGGACGAATCATTTTGTCCACAACGGAATGGAACTTACGAAGAAAGTCTTATGAATAATGTCTTTCTCTGGACGCCCGGCTTGTCGTGGTTCTATTATCTTGTCTATGGCCAAGAGCCGCGTTGTGTTAGTCATTTCAATCCAGTAACTATATGTTTTTTTAATATTAAAAAAAATATTCATCATATTATTATGTATTTTCGATCTTAAGTTCGAACTAATCTTCAGAAAGCATATAATCCAAATCAGTATTTCACTCGGCGTATATGCAGTAATGGTAAATGATTAAACAAGTGAAGAACTTTCGTGTTGTTAATTATTTTTCTACTGTAGTTATATTTGATGTTCCTCTATGCAGTTCATGTAGGTATCATCAATTTGATCGTCTATCATCTCATTCCAGTGTTTGTTTTTGCAACTTACTTCGTAATCGTTACTCTGTTGCATCATACAGAAATGTCTGAAAAGAAGGAAACATGTTTACTCGTTATATTGATCTCTTTTGTAACTCTAGGAATGTTCCATGGTTTATCGACAGCGAATGGAACTATGCCAGAGGGCAACTATCGACTGTCGATCGTCATTATGGTCATGTCCATTGGATCATTCATTCAATTGGCACACACCAAATTCATCATCTTTTTCCTAAAATTCCTCATTATCGTTTAGGTACATATATAACCTTAATGCTATTATCTTTACTTTTTCATGTTTTTGTAGAGGAAGCTACATTTTACTTTCGTAAATCTTTTCCAAATCTTGTTCGTATTAATAATGATCGAATCTTATCATCGTTTATACGTATGGGCAAAAAATTTATTCGACAACGATACATTGGCAAGGATGTGTCTGTTTTCACATACAGCGATGATCAAAATAAAAATTAAACTGTTAATTATATTTTTTAACATATCAAATTGTAATTTTTACTTTTATTTAACCAAGTGAATGTCAGTTCAAGTTCAGACTTACATTCCCAATAAAACATTATTGAATTCACTAAGATTTTTTTTTCTTTTCATCAGCACAGATGGTTTCAGTTAATTATGTTTAGGCAAAACAAAGTAATTTTCTGTATCAAAAAACAGTGAAAACATGTTTTTCACAGTCAGAGAGAGCGTTCTTTCATGACTGAGGATGAAATTGATGGTGAGGTATGAGAATGTGCGAATTGACGTTGCATTTGAGATATAGAACAACACACACATCATCAATTTTTTTTCTAAATATTATTTTGAAATAATTTGTTAGATCTAATAGATGTCGTGATAAGAAACTAAACATCATAATTGAAGAGCAGATAACAGTAATTATAGGTAAAGTTTAACAAAAACGATGTAATCGAAATACTGGATACTATTTATCAAAGTAAATAAAAGAAAAAGTCAACACACACACGTCATGTTTTTGAGTGTGAGTGTGGGTGTAGCTGAAAATGCAAAGAACAGAGAACTCTCACGTATATCTGTACCCTCAAGATGGTTTTAATTAAACGTTTATTTCTACCGTTTTAGCGTTATGTTTATACTGATACAAATGATAAACACATCTCAACATCACAAGTGACATTAAAAGCACATATTACATTTGATGATCTAAATAAAATGGGTTAATATACATGTATGACACAAGATGAAGAGGAGAATACTGGTTCAGATACTCTTAGTATGCAAGAAGAGGATGTTTATAATCGACGAACAGGATTTTGGCTAGTGCATCTTCTAATAAATAAATTTTATTTGATTCTTATTTTGTATCATAGTGTTGACGTTGGCTCTAAAATTTTAGAAATTAGCGCACCAGATATGGTTCATGAAAATCATGTAAAGATTCAATGTGTAGGTGCAGAGTCATACGACGAAAAAAGAATTGAATGGTATTTTAATAATTGAGTATGTATTAATTTTAATTTAAGCGTAAACTTTATTAGTTTTAACGGGAAACTGCTGTTGTAAATATGGTTTTAACACCATATTTTTTGCCATTCAATAGACAGAAGATTATGCTAAGACCTAGTGCACAACAGTCATCACTTATAAAGACATTAATATATTTGAGGGTGTAGGCGTGGGTGAGGGTGAATGAAATGAGTATTCTCATTTACATCGACACCCACACCCACATCCACACTCACACAACCACACACGATGTGTTATAGATACACGTGGGGATAGAGAAACAAAAATCATCAGGCGGAGCCTACTAAGGATGAAACTTCCCTCCCCAGCACATCGTTTGTATGCTTATGTATCGATTCCCTCTCAACTCCTCCGTCCCAAGACAATTTCCAACTTGCTGTGCAATAATAACAAACATGTTCTCTTATCTGCACATCAGCGTTGAGATAATAATAAAAAACGGCGCAATTTCGTATGTTATAAATATGACATGTGTGTAGGTGTCCTGGTGTGGGTGTCAGTGTGAACGAGGATACTCATTTCATTCATTCTCCTCATTCAAATTCATACTCACACACCCTCATTCACACCCACACCCACCCTTGTATTGAAATTCTCAAAATACTACGCTATTTTATGACGATTTTACCAGTAATCTGAAAAAAAAAATGCTTCCTCAACAACAATAAGACATCAAATTAAAAAGATACTTAAATCTTCTCTCCATCGTATGACGAGTAAAATGACATAAAATTGCGAAGTAAAAGATGAACCTATCGAGAGTTTACGCTTTTTTGGGAGATTAAAGCGGATCTATAGAAAACACATGAATATTAGGGTAGGGCACTATCTTTAGGATACACGATTATCCTATTATGTTTCATATGATCATTATCAAAGTTATAGCATAGGGTGCAGTAGGAAAAACTGCATCTAATGAGCATATTTGTAAACGTCTTTAGTAAGTAAAAATTTTCGAAAAACGGAAGTTATTTAAAAATGAGTAATTTCACATAATATGAATTTTTTAGTATTTTTTTTTCATGTTTTTTCGATTTTTTTATTCCAAAGAAGAGCTAATAAGTTTTTGATATGCTTAGTCCTGTGGAACTCAATGAGCTCTATCGGACTATATATAAATCGTGAGAAAAAATCTTCGTCGAGTTTTGCATTTGGTGCGCTTTTTATTTTGTTTTTTCTCATAAAAGAAAATGGTAAAAAACGTGTGTTTTTTTTTATCGCAAGAAGAGAAAGAAAAGACGAACAATATTTTTGTCTCTTCTTATATAAAAAATGGCAAAAAAAACGTATTTTTGATCGCGATAAGATAAAGAACAGAAGAATAATGTTTTTTTCTTTTTTTATATTACTTATTGTTTCACATTAGTAAGGAACACACGACTTTTAACTTGAATATATTTATGCAATACAACTGAAAAAATGAGTAAAAGTAAGTTATAAGAAGCAACGAATTAGTGAGAACTATTTTCATGTATCTAATCCGTAGATGAAAATGTGTACCCGGTAGATGAAATATATTCAAAAAAATATACTACAATACTATCTATAGCCGGTTCTGATCCAAGTGGAGGTGCTGGTATTCAAGCCGATTTAAAAACGTTCTCCGCTCTTGGGTGTTACGGAATGGCAGTCATCAGTGCTCTTACAGCGCAAAATACCCAAGGTGTACAAGGTATTCATTCACTGCCATCAGAATTTGTGGCAGCTCAACTGAAATCGATTTTGGATGACATTGTCGTTGATGCTGTTAAAATTGGCATGTTAGAGAGAGGTGAAATCATTGATCAAATAGCTGCTCATCTAACACGATTTAAGGGCATTATTGTTGTCGATCCTGTTATGTTCGCTAAAAGTGGTGATCAACTCATTAAAGATGATGCAATTGAAGCTTTAAAACAGAAGATACTACCATTTGCAACCGTTTTGACACCGAATATTCACGAGGCATCTCGTCTTGCTGGTGTAGAAAGAATCGAAACGAGTGAAGAAATGGAAGTAGCTGCTTTCAAACTCGTAGAATTGGGACCATCTGCTGTAATTATCAAAGGTTCACGGCCTCGGTTAGCTGGCAGAGACTGTCTTGCCATAAGAGGAGCCTCTAAAGCGCTATGGTTTGAATCAGAGCCTATTGTGACAAACAATTTACATGGAACAGGCTGTACATTTTCTGCAGCGATCACCTGTTTTCTAGCAAGAAACAAGGATATTGTCACTGCTATTAAAAATGCCAAGGATTATATTTCTCAAGCGATAAGCGAGGGATCAAAGTATCAACTAGGACAAGGTCGGGGACCTGTACATCACTTTTACTCATGCTGGCCACCTGCCATCAGTTTTACGCAAGAAGCCTGGTGGAAGATCAGTCATCTCTATCGAAATATACTCGATCATCCGTTTATCAAAGAAATGGGAGAAGGAACATTGCCGGAGCAAAAGTTTGAGCATTTTATTCAACAAGACTATTTATTCATGCGCGATCGAGCAAAAGCATATTGTATTTTGGTATCGCGTACTGTAAATGACGAAGAATTTCGTAATTATTTGGATGAATCTGGCAAGGCAATTTCTAAGAACGCTGATGAGTTATTTCGGAAATATAATTTCCCAAATTTTACTGATAATCAACTGAAGAAAGGGCCGGCTTGTACTGGTTACACAGATTTTATGCTATCAAAGGCTATGTGTGATGTGACAGAATGCCTGGTAGCTTTGTTACCATGTGCAATATTATTTCAAAAAATCGGAGAACATCTGAAACAAACCGGTGTCAAATCGAATAATCCAAAATATCAGACATGGATCGATAGTTACAGTAGTTTAGAGAGACGACGAGAAAAGGTAGACAAGTTTATTTGTCTTATAGAAAAGTTAGTTATCGGTAAAGATCGTTTTCTCCTTATAAAATCGTTTGAACAAGCAACTCAGTTTGAATATGAATTCTGGGATGATGCATATCATTTGAGAAAATAGCTGTTTCTCTTTTTCAACTATGTATGTTTTAATAAATGTTGGAGATTATATCCTTGACATTATTTTTTTCATCTTGAGGGTGGGTGTTGATGTGGGTGGGTGTTGATGTGGGTGGGCATGGGTGTGGGTGTGGATGAGGGTCTGGATGTGAAAAGGAAATAATACCCACATTCACCCTTGTTTGAACGTAACACAAGAATCTCCACGAAGGTTCCCTCCGAAAAAAATTGGATATGGTGTTGTTATCTGTAATCATCACACATCCACGCAATGTATTTCAATAACTGTAGGTATAAAATATCGATCCAATCACACAAAAACTTCATTTTCTCTCATCTCTTTATGTCTTTCATACCTATACCGATATAGAAAAACTCAAATTTAATTAATTTTAGGAGAAAATAAAAACTTCCAGTTCTCTTACGGAATGATACGAAAACTCATGATTTTTATTTTCTCTAAAACATATATACGTTGTTGTTGCTGTTAATTTGGTCTTTCACGCACGTCAGTAGTTTATCAATAGAAATAATGTACGTGGACGATAAAGAAAACAAAAAAGCAATTTCAATTGCCATCAAACCATGTTATTATAATTATTAACCATGAGTGTAAGGGTAGATATGAAATAAGAGATAAATATAGTATTATCATCGACATCAGACACCAAAATTGGAATGTCAATTCTCTTTTCTTCCTTGATTTATATATAAGATGCGCTCGAAAAGAATAATATTATATAGACATTTATTTTTTTATATGTATGTACGTCCATAGACCTTATCTTAGCGAAGAATATTCCCTGTTGTTATTTTTCTTCTTCATAAGTAAAGGAATAAAAATTAAATAGATATTTTTTATTTTAGACCAAAGAAAAAAAGATGTTTGTTGTATTCGTTATTTTTTTAACTATACTCATTCCTTCAATACAATCATCTAAACCAGCATTAAAATTAACATTTACTCCCGATGAAAAATATTATACAGAGGGCCATGTGGTTGAGATTCTTTGTGAATTAATTAATCCAAGTGACCATACAGAAGCATCACAATTATGGCATGTTGATATGAAAAGTGGTCAACGTACGGCAATAGGTCGGGCATTATTAAATACACCACCAGATGATTCATTAGATATATTTAAACATAATAAAAATAAACGTTTGGAATATGTTAAAAAAAATCATTTACGTATAAGACAAATTTTATTTGAAGATACATCTCGATATGAATGTACTTGTCCGGATTGTGAAGAACAATTAGAAAAAAAAACAAAAGAACTTCACGTAATGAAATTAACAGATCCAAAATGGCATATTGAACCGGGCTGGCCAATACAAGAAAATGCTAAAACAACATTAAAATGTACAGCTGATGATTTTTATCCATATGTTAGTCATCAGATTCTTCGCAATCATCATAAAATTGATGGTGACGGTAAAGCTACGATACCGAATAATAATACAATTCTACAAAAATTTTCTTGGGAAGCAACTGTTACACCAACACATGAGTGGCATAAAACAACATTAGAATGTACAATTATTGAAGGTTTGTTTTTGAAAACGAAACTAATATAAAAGAGAAGGAAATAATTTTTTTCATTATTCAATAGGTAATCATAAAAAACATGCAGTAAAAATTCTTGAGGTTATATTTACTCCACGTTTTATTAAATGTGAAGAAAAACAATATGTTAATTCCACGAGAGACAAATCAACAATTGAATGTTATTATGCAGGAAATCCTCAACCAAAGTTATTATGGCTTCGACAAACAGATGAAAAACCTGTAACATCAGATGCAGGTGTTACTATTGAAGTAAAAGATGAACATCATGGTAAATATAAAAGTGCTGTTACATTTGATCGTCAGATATTAACAACAAAAGAAGATAATTACTATGAACAATTATTAGCAGATGGTTTTATTGTAAGATTAACAAATAATAATAATGAAGTTAGAGAGTCCCGAAAAATAAATATTGTGAGTGATCCAAATCAGGCACGAACAAATCCACTTGATAGTTTATCGAGAGCAACAATACAAAACTTTTCAATATCTATTATGTTATTTTCATTTTTAATTATTCGACATATATGATCTAAGATCACTAAGCTACTAACGCCCGTTCGTTTCGCTTTATTTGCAATTATTATATGACTGGTGATGAAGAAGTTTTTACTCAATCCGAATGTTGAGTTTTTCTTTAATAAAATACATAATTACAAGATTCCTTTGCAACATAAAAAACAAACCATATAAAATAATTTTTAATTAATTCTGTTATCTCAGTAAGAAAAAAAACAGAAATTATCTAGAGAATGGATATGTAAATATAATTATAGATCACTTGCATGCACATTCTATAGTACTTGAATTCGGCCTGCATTCACGGATGGTCTCAAGTAACATTTTTTTGGGATATATGTCCCTGCTCTCTATTCTCATAAGTGATATTTCTTATTTATATTTGAATGTATATCATGTGCTTTAATTTATTTTTCACCTAATCACCATTCACGCACAGCCTACCACGATGTCAAATTAAAGATCAATATAACTTTTACTCAAATAAAAGAAAATAATTTTATAGCCCTTTTCTCGATGCTTTGAGAGAATCACAGTTATTCTCAACATTTCTCAACTGATTAACCATTTTTGCTGTGCATCAAAATCTTGATTAAGAATGTTATGTTCAACCACATATGTCTTTTCTTCACGTTTGATGCTAAATAAAAAAATTTTTATCTTCGAAAGCTATCAGCCAGGTATTTGATTTAACTTTAATTTAACAAGTTTCTCTAATAAAATAGTCATTATTCGGTCGAAAAGAGCATGATCAAAAACCTTTATATATCGTCTATGAACCCTATTAAATTAAATTTATAATGTGCAAAATTCCTTGGGAGTCGAAATTGAAAAATAACTCGCGTAGAAAACTGTATTCTATTCAATATGTGAATTACAAATCTCTGATGAACATAATTAATTAGTTTTGGGAATATATTACTGTGCTGGTGAATGAACAAGTTAATTTGTTATCTTGATTAAGACATCAAATAATCAGCAAACGAACGGTGAATATATGTAGGTGAGAGTATTTTGTTCCTCATCTGTATCTTAAATCATAAAGAATCATTCAATGTTAATATTACTAGTTTTAAAAATAGTTAAATAATGTATCATTTTAACAAGAAATGTTCAATGGAATGAAGAGAAAATTTTGATTAATATGTGCGTCACCTTAGTTAGACAAACACAAATTTTATTGGTAAATCACAAAACAACAACAATAAGAGCCTTGAATATAATAAAATTAAGAATACCGATGATACAACATAAACTGTAGATGATGATAGACAAATTATTTGCACAAAAGTACCTTTTTCACTTCATTTCGAAATGTTTTTGATACAATTAAATTGGTATAACATTCAATACAAAATGGAATGTGATTACTAAAAGTACTAACCGAAGCAATAAAGACCTCAATCAGATTTTGAACAGAACTTTTTATAGTGTCTTGAGTAGCTTGTTGATACATAAGAAAAACTGATACGGCCCAGTTGAAAATTATATAAATAATAATATCAATAAGAAGCATTCGAACAAGTTGACGATCTCTTGCTCGAAGAAGAGGATGTGGATCAGCTGCAGTTGTAATTCGATTCATTGATAAAACAGGAGCAACTCTTACACGACGTAAAGTTCGAATATTCTTTACAGACCACAGTCCACATGTGATTAATAATAAAGGAACAAGAATTGTTTTGATTAGAATTGCATAATAAGCTATGAATACTAAATATGCACCTGATTGAAAATAACAAAGAAAATAATTTGGTGCATATTCTATAATACTCCCAAAAATTAACGTATGCGTTTGAAATAACATCCAAAATAAAGTTCCACTAATAATACATATATACGCAAAATGATGCGTACTGCGTTGACGTGTTCGAGCATTAGATGATGTAATTAATACTCGATCAATTGACGCTAAAATCATATAAAATGGACATAATATATCGAACAAGAATTGTACGTAAAGATTGAAACGGCAGAAGATTAAACTATACAAAGTTGGATGAATATTATAACCAGCATCTAATACTAATATTAAAAATGGTAAATACATTGTTATTATATTAGAAATATTCAACGCTATTAAATAAGTTGAGCATGCGCTTTTACGAAGAATACTTCGAGAGAAAACTATCAAACTCATTGTACAACTTAAAGTACCAATAATAATCAAAATGAGACCACCAAATTGATATAAATATTTCTGTGATAATATTATTAAAGTGATCGAATCATATTCTGAAGACATCGTTTTTTATTTCTCTGAAAACAATTTCTTTCAATGTCTTATAAATTTTAACAAATTTCTCATCTGTCTGTTAGAAAATATCAGCAAAGATATGCTGGATTAATTCTATATTTATATAAAAATATCTTATTATAATTGCTTTTCTTCTTCAATAAAAGCATCATTAAATATAAAGTCAAAAATTGATTATAATCAAGAAAACAAGTGGGAAATGCTAAATGGTTCTTATGCATTAATGATAATTTAATCTTAATGACTTTTACTGTTCGGTTGAAAACAGTATTTTGTTAAGAAATTCGTTTTCGAATTATGACAACTTGGAAAAACTTTGATTAATAAATCAAACAGAGATTGACAATGTTTGGTATATTCTACAAGGGATCAATAGAAAGAATTCTGATTTATAATCATGAAAACATATGATCATTTTTCTTCAATCAAAGTTTAAATTCATCTCTTAACGTATGCATATTTCATCAGTACAGCATGTGATAAATGTTTTTTTCAGATATGTACTTAAAAGAAACCATTTTTGTGTTAATTATAGCATAATTTTAAATAGTTATTTAATCCTCTTTTCAATTTAATATAAATTCATGTTGTCGCTGTTTTTCACCGGTGAAATACAAATTAATCTTGAAGATTGAATAAAGCCTGTAGAAACAAATAGAAGTTGATGGCATCATTCAATTTATATATTTGAACATTTTTTTGATGTAAAACTTTTATTACGTCATTTTCGACCACAAGAATGACTGACATAGATAAGACTTCCAGGGCATTACCAAGGAAAGTGCGAGAAAAATAATTCTATAAAAATTTAAAAATACTGAAATAATTGTAAATTATTTCAGATTAATAGACAATTAGAAGATCAAAAGAAATAGATAAAGTTCGTACTACCGACATACTTTTGGTTTATTATTCTGTGAAGCATAGTCGTGCGTATTAATCTCAACAAAAGCATCATATTTTCGCATTAAATGTTTGAGCACTGTGTTGATAATGACGAACATCCAACAGAAAACAAAATAGTTAAGGGTCGACCAACTAGAAATTTTCTTATTTCCTCTTAATAAATCACTGCAGATTTTTTTGTATACATTATAATTTACGATAATATCTACATTGAATCAAGACATTTACCAATGAAACATTTATATGATGAGAGGAATGGTCGAATGACAACTAACTTAGTATCAGTTGAATTAGAAATCTATCTCAATTCGCCTGTATCGCATATTAATATATATATAAATACATATAATACAATCAAAACTTATTCAAAGATCAACAGGTGGTAACATTGGATGTAACAACAGGAAAATGTTTTTCGAAACTGATTTCCCGCAAACAATAATCATCAGAAATGTGTTGATGTCAAACTGGAATTCAATTTTCGAGGGTGTCACCTTTTATTTTTATTTTTTTTTAATGATGCAGTAGTGTTCAAAATATAATCAAAGACAATGCGGCCCTTTGTTTATTATTTTCACTTGGAAAAATCTCCAATTTTGACTAATGACTATCATTTATTCTTGGCATCGTTCAAAGAATATGACACCAATCAACAGAAAACATAGTTTGTAAAGGTTCGATCAGTTTCGGTCAGACATCGTCTTTCTTTCAAGTGAATAACCAATCTTTTAATATTCTTGTATAAGAGATAAAATACATAATATTCTACATTTTTTCGTGTTTATTATAGCATCTGCAAAAATAGAACTAATAACGATGTTTAAATTTAGCAATATTCATTAAACACATCTTTTTTGCTTTTGTTCTATCGGTGTTGCTTTTATGTATGACATTGCAATACTTTGTAAGTTAAAAAAACGAGAACTGCAGTTCAGTTTGTTGAAATTGAGGGTATAGAGAAATAGAACTCAAATTACATAGTAGAAGATCAGATAATACGCTTCGATATATTTCTATTTTTCAGTCAACTAAAAATTAAAAGACAAGATGGCAAGTACGTTCTATGTTGTATTGGATCAAATACGAAAATTAATGGATCTTTACGCATTGCCTGTTATTTATGTATTTGGTAATTTGGCGAATGTAATTAATGTGTACGTTTTCTCACGTCATAATATGCGATTAAATGCATGTTCGCGATATTTTGTTTGCTTATCACTTGCTCATCTTCTCTTACTCAATATTTCCTGTCTTACACGTCTTATAGTGGTGTGGACGGGCCATGATTATGCAATAGATAGTTCTATCTATTGCAGAATGCGTGCCTATTTGTTCAATCTAAGCATTCTTCTCTCACGTCAATTCATCACTTTGATTTCAATTGATCGATGGTTAGTAACATCATCTAGTGCATGGCTTCGCAGGCAAAGTTCACCAAAAATTACTCAATGGTTGATTATAGGCAGTGTTATATTTTGGTCACTCTATGCTATGCATGCTCTAATTGGATATGGATCCAATCCGAGTGGTTGTTATCCATCTCCTGGCACTATTTATAGCCTATTCTCTTCTATTGATGCAATTATGACAGCGGTCCTATCATCAGTAAGTCATTGTTCTTTTTACAAGACTTCTTTTACATTTGATTTCTAGGTAATCATGATTATCTTCAGCATTCTCACTCTACATAATCTTCGCTTAAATAGTATCCGTCGAATACAACCAAGTACAATGCAACACACTCTTGTTACAGTACCCGAACGGCAACGAAGATCAAAGCGCAATACTCAATTCCTTCGATTGTCTCTTCTTCAAGTACTGGTCTTCATCATACTCAACTCTGGATGGACAGTTTTTGCTATTTTTAGCGCTGTTTCCAAACCAGCAACTTTGGGTTTGTTCAATACAATACTTCTGGTATCATTTTTACAAGGGTTCGGTATTACATTACTCTACATCTATGGCGTGGTATGTATTGTTATTGAGGAAAGAAAGTATTGAAAGAATTGACTTTTTATATGATTATTTTATAGACTACATTGATCGTATACACATTGGCTTCGAAAATCTTTCGCAGCGAGTGCTGGATGATGTGTAAAAGATGGTGGAACAAAGCAAAACAATGTTTTTATAACATGTTTTAAAACAATATCATTCTACATCCTTGTCGCTTATTCTTGCTTATAATATCTTTATTTACCTTGTACCTTTCCTAGCTTTTACTAATCATAATAAATAAACGAAATTGTAATGTGAATAGGTGTGGGTATCTCATTTTGCTCAAACTTTTGGTCAGCGATACCTCCATCGAAATCTATACTCACACTAATGAATTACACAATCGTTTTTTTCGACTTCGACCTCGAAAAACTTCGAATTTTTTTGTGGTGTATTGAGAACATCTAAACAGAAACGATTCGATTCTGAAGATAATTTCGAAAGCTGTAATAAAGAATTGTTTTTTTGCAATTAATACATATACTTCTTTTTATGCTATTTAGGGTGGATGTGGGTGTGAGTGAACGATATCTAATTATAATATGCACATGCACGCCTACACCCATCGTCACCCTCTACATTTTGATTTTTGTTGAAAATATATATGATATTTAGAATCAGCATGACAAAATACATTGGAAAATCCAATTTATCTTCAAAACATATTTGCAATGAAAAATTTATCTGTACTCATTCCTCATCAGCCTTTTGTCTTCTAAAATGTTTGCCATACTCATCTAGAGGGTGGCTATGGATGTGGATGTCTCGTGTTGATCTACAACTATACCCTTTGGGAAAAAGAAGTCGGGACTGTTTTTCCATTAGATTGATAAAATCAATTCCGAGAAAAACACGTCATGTATGTCTCTTGATTAAATTGATGAAATGAATCGAGAAAAAAAAGACTCCTTACATTGAAAAGACAAAAGAGAGAGAGAGAGGAAAGCAGGAAAAAGAAATGTTTAATTATCGAAAAAAATCATATATCTCGTCGTTGCACATGATGTACTCAAACTTTGAAAGAATACTTTTCTTCAACAAAATATTAGAAGAAAGAAAAGACGTCATTAACTGTTTAATAGTTTTTCTAATGTAATCATGGATATGCTGTTTTGTATTCACAAAAGAAGTTAACTTTTTCTTGTCATAATTATTTATTTAGATGTACTTTTTCTGTGAAATAACATAGTTTGTATTACTATGGTTACAACAAACCTAGATGTATTCACAATTTTTCTATTTCCATCGTTTCTTTTTTTAAGAAAAATCGAAAACATTTTCCAACTGATTCTGTCTTCTTTTGCATACAAAATACATAATACATGATAGAAACATATAAATGAAAGAAAAACAAGACAAAACAATTTTTGAGTGAATATTTTTCATTGAGAAAAAAATACGTTCGAATATTTTGTTATGATAAACAACTATTTAACTTTGTTTAGAATAGTAAAAGTACTTTTTACTGTAATTTGTCTACTGTTATTTTTTCAGCGGCCATATACATTCATGGAGCAGTTGCTACTTTCTTGAAAATAAACTATTGGTATTCAAGTTTCGATTTTCTCCATGAAATCCAGTTGAATTTCTACCTTTTACAAAATCAAACATTTTTATACATTCTTCAAACTAGAGGGTGTGGGTGAGTGTTAGCTAAGTATAATATCCACACCCATACCCACACTCTCTGGGAAAAAGAAGTCGGAACTGATTTTCCATTAGGCTAATGAAATAAAATCGGGGAAAAAGGTGTCGGGACTGTTTTTGCATTAGACTAATGAAATGAATTCAGGGAAAAAGAAGTCGGAACTGATTTTCCATTAGACTAATGAAATGAATTCGGGGAAAAAGAAGTCGGAACTGATTTTCCATTAGACTAATGAAATAAATTCTAGGTAAAAGAAGTCTGAATTGTTTTTACATTAAATTGATGAAACAAATTGAGAGAAGAAACGATGCACAACCCACTCAAAAGAGAGAGAAAAAATAGAATTTATTGCTCAATAAATACTGTTTTCTATTATGAATTGAATTCATTTCATCAACTTACAGTCGGACTGGCAATGGCTTCAAGAAGAGTTTGTTTATGGCTGTTATTTATGATTATCACGCAATCAGTCGAAGAAGATATACGATCAATGCAAATGTCTATAATCTCTGATTATAAATTTCAATGTGTCAATACAACTTGTTTTCCATTCATGAATGTTTTCACATCAAACATCAAGAATTGTCAAGTAGCCTGCTTAGCTCAAAGTCAATGTGAAGGAGCCACTTTTGATCGATCAACTTCTAATTGTGAATTATTTGATAATATATTGAGCCAAAATGAAAATATGTTGGCTGATGTCGATACTATTAGTATCAATGTTATTACTGGAACACGATTTCCATCAGGTACAGTCTTAATAAAACAGATTTAGATGAAAATATATTTATGAGAAAGAGAAAAAAGCAATTTCGATTTATTGAGAATTAAAATAACTTGATAGAGATATTGAACACATTTGTCTATAAATCACATATCGGTTCGACTTAAAACGGCAAAAAAATATTTAACCAAAGCCTTCTCCGAAATCTTTGTAAGACTCGAAATTAAACAATCAATACATCGAATATTAAAAGAATAATAAAGAAGAAATGAGATAATTATTCTATGAAATGTCTATGAATACTAAGATTTTCGTATTCAGAAATCTATACAAAATAGCGATATCTATGAACCAAACTCTCATCTTAAATAAAAACAACACATTTCAAGAAAAGAATTTATATGTAAATCTTATATAAATTAATTTGTATAATTCTAAAAGTTTAATTGTTAAAATTATTACAGAAACAGAAACAAATCAATAGATAAACAGTATCCAATTATTTAGTCTTAATCTGAAATCGTTTTTCTAAAATAGAACCAACAACGACATCAACATCAATAACATCATCTTCAGCATCATCAACATCAACATCATCGTTAACAACAACCTCATCATCAACATCGACAACAACCTCATCATCAACATC